CCCGATTCGCTCCAGACTCTTTGCCGATTGTCATCACTCACAAGTTCAATTCTGGTTTCATCGGTAAATATCACCCACCGCCACTGCTGCAAAAGCCAACCCCTATGCAATCGCGCCCATTGGAGATCATTCGAAACCAAAATACATACATACGTTAGAGCCATTTTGTGCAACATTTATGTGAAAAACGTCATGTCTTTGTTCTGATTCTTCTTCACATACATCGCACACTGGCTTTAATCGTTTTTGCCGGTGCCATTCATAGTTTTATTGTGTACACAATTTTTTGTTTCCGAAGTAAATCCGTAAGTGATTATAAGCTTTATTTCTGTGTCATACATACAGTCTCGTACATGCTAGCGGTATAAAGTTTTGAATTTAGGTACATTTGTAGGATTTGTAGTTTCTCAATCATTACTATGGATTTCAAAGTTTTTACCAAGAAATTTTTTTATGGCCTACTGTAGATGGTGAATTAAAGCGAGAAGTTGTTTAATGTTATAAATTTATCAAGATAATTCCAAAAACTTGTATCGATATAAGATAATTCCAAAACTTGTATCGATCATATTTTTTTATTAGACAAAACGAATTAAACGTGTATGTTCCTATCGTACTGGAAACTTCTGTTACTGATCACTTCACCACCATAGTCCAAATTGTTACCCCCAAAAAAGGAGAAAATGTATTAAAAAATAGTAATTTTAAAACTTACATAAATTATGATGCTCTAACGAATAAACTAGAAAATGAAAAATGGAAAACTATTTTATTTGAAAATAATGTTTGTCTGGCTACGAATAACTTTGTTAATATTGTTAAAACTAAAATAAAAGAAAGTGAATACATCAAAAAAATTAAAAATAAAGAGGCAAAATGATCCCCTTGGATAACAAAATCATTAGTGGTTTCTTCTAACATAAAAGAGAAACTTTACAAAAAAATGAAAAATAATAATTCAATCGATATTAAAAATTATAGAAACAATTTAAGAAATTTAATCAGAATCGCTAAATCCAATTATTATAAATCAGAAATAGAAAAAAGTAGCAAAAACTCTGCCGATCTATGGAAATCAATTAATAATATTATGAATCAAAACAAGAAGTCTAACAATATCTGTGAAATAACTGACAAAAATGGTTTAAAAATTTATGATAAAAAAATTGTTGCAAATGAATTTTGTGACTTTTTTCCAATATTGGGAATAATCTTGCTAAGCAAATAAAACCCCTTGACAAAAAATTTAACAAAAAACTCGTTCCAAATTCGTTGTATTTATTAGATACAAATGAAAAGGAGATCATTAATATTATTAATTCCCTTAAACTAAATAAAGCTTCAGGAATTGATGGTATAAAATCCGAAACATTAAAAAAAATTTCACGTCAAGTTGCTGTACCATTAAAATATATTATTAATACATCTTTTCAATTATGAATCTTTCCAACGCCATTCAAAACGACAATCATAAAACCATTATTCAAAAAAGGAAAAAAAGACTTAATGACAATTTATAGACCAATTTCATTAATAACTAATTTCGCAAAGGTTTATGAGAAAATTTTAAAGATACGTATCTCACAGTTTTTGAACAAATACGATATAATTTCCGACAAACAATATGGATTTAAGGAGGGAAGATCGACAGAAGATGCAATAGCTCAATTGATAAAAAATATATATGAAAATATTGATAGAAAAAAGGCATCTCTATGTATCTTCATCGACCTTACAAAAGCATTCGATACGGTTAGTCATACAAAAATGATCGATACACTACACGAGATTGGTTTCAGAGGTCAAAGCTATGAATTACTTCGTTCATATTTAACAGAAAGAAAACAATCTGTTGTAATTGATGATGTGGTCAGCGAAAACAAAAATGTTATATGTGGTGTCCCACAAGGAACTGTACTAGGACCAATATTGTTTAACATATATCTAAATAATTTATTTGCTGTCAATTCAAATGGGAAAATAATTAGTTTTGCTGACGACACCGCAATTATTTATGAGAGCTCAGACTGGGATACATTAAAAATATTAGTTGAGAACGATCTCCCTCATATCTTTGATTGGTTTCACCACTACTTGCTTACTGTCAATTTTAACAAGACTTTATTTATACCTTTTTGCTCATATGAAAATACCTCACCTACCTACAATAAAATCTCAATTAGAGTCAATAAAAATTTAGTCGACATCTAATATTAAATATCTGGGGGTATATATAGACAAACACCTAAAATGGGATATACATATTAATTTTCTAATAAAGAAACTCAGAACCTTATTATTTAGGTTTAAATTTTTATCAAAACTATTGAATTTTGAACAATTAAAAATGATCTATTATGGGCTTGCTGAATCACATATTAAATACGGGATCATAGCTTGGGGAGGGGCATTAGAATGCCATATAAACAATCTCAATAATACGCAAAAATATCTCATAAAAATTATATTGAAAAAACCATATACTTACCCAACACAGCAACTATTCGAAGAAAGCAAATTATTTGATGTTAGACAACTGTTTTGTCAGAATCTATTGATAAGGCAGCATTTCAATAAAGGCGAATTGAAAAAAAATGAATACAATTATAATACCCGTTCAAAAACTTATACATGTCTTACCCAAAGTATTGAAATCCAACACTCAACGAAGTTTTTGGTACATAGGTCCTAAACTATATAATAAATTGCCAATTGAGATAAAACAAATTCAATCAAAAAATCTATACAAAAAATTAATAAAAAAAATGGGTTTTACAATTTCCGCGCCAAACTATACTTGCAATGATTGAAAATTATTATTATTAATGCAATATTATTATTATCATTGTTATTATTATTAGTATTATTATTATTAATATTAATTTTATTATTATTATTTTTATTAATATTACTTTTATTATTGTCATTATTCTTAATGTGTTATTATTAATATTACTGTTCTAAAACAAAAAAATGTACAAAAAAAATTATTAAAAAGTTATACGTAGGGTATTACAGTTGATCCTAAATCGCTCAACTTCAGACAGGTTTTCCTTATAGTTGGTCGTCACAAAGGTTAACTGTTACCAAAATATAATAAAAAAAAAACTTTTAATTATTATAAATATATTTTAATATACACTCAAATATTTTAGCCAGCTGTACAGGATCTAGATATCCTTTAGCTTTATTATTTATTTACTAGATAATATTGTAATATTTAAAATTGTATTTACCGTTATTTTGTAAATAAATTATTATTATTAACATGACTTTGTATTTTATTCCAAATTAAATGATATAAAGCAAAACCAAAAAATGTATTTGAGAAAGTCGACATATCCATTTTTGAAAATAGGCTTTTGGTCAACATTAACATCGACAGTTTGGGAAACACTTAAGCACTATCGTGAGAGTGGAAGTGTCCAAACTAAAGGCAAAAGTTCAGGAAGACTGAGAAGTGTGTCTGATAGAGATTGACGATTACTTGTAAAAATTTGCAAACGGGGTCGTCGTAACACTTTAAGGACCATCACAGCATACTGTAATGCAGAAACAGGACATACTTTATCGAGAGAGTGCTGTAGAAAGTGGATACACAAATCAGGACTTGGTTTTTATAAGGTCGGTTCGAATGATTTTATTAAATTCATGATTTTTTATTATTCGTAACGTTTTAGGCGAAAGAAAAACCTCTATCAAAGAAACAGAAAATAAATCGGTTTAATTGGGCAAAATCGAAGATGTCATGGACCGTTGAAGACTGGTTTAGTGACGAGTCGAAGTTTGACGTGTGTGTGGGAGACCTTCGTAAACGGGTTATTAATACTAAAAATTAAGCATTTCATAAAGATTGCCTCAAAAGGACACTAAAATTTCCTAAAGGCATCACGATTTGGGGGGTGCATGTCCGCAGTGGGTCTAGGAAGTTATGAGGTGGTAGAAGGTACAATTAATGCAGCAAATTATCAGGAAATTTTGAAAAATAGTCTTGTGCCAAGCGCGGAAGGTCTTTACCCGGACATGAATTATATATTCCAACAGGACGGTGCTCCATGCCATACGGCGAAAACTACTAAAAAATGGTTTGGGGATAATAACATTAATGACCTCTCATGGTCTTCGAACAGTCCGGACCTTAATGTTATCGAGACATTATGGCGTAAAATGAAACAAAAATTGCGCGATGATCCCCAAAGAACCGTTGCCGATTTGAAGAAGTAATTGGATGAATTATGTCAAAGTTTTGACCCTGATTTATGTCAATCATTAATAAAAACAATGCCAGATAGGACTGCAGCGGTAGTAAAAGCGCGTGGCGATGTAACGCCATATTAAAACAGTAATTCTATAAATTTTACAAACATTTAGTTGTCATTATATTATGCAATATTTTTGTTTATTTATTCGCATACAGTGTATTTTAATGTGTTTAAAAACCAAACCATATTAATGTTGAATATAAATGATAGATTTTTAATATATTGTTAATTTAATAATTTAGTTTATGTAAATTAACGTTTTCAATAAATTATTGTTTGTCTGAACATTTAGCCGTCTTAGTAAAAAAAAAAAATAAGATTAGTAAGTTTCATTATAGGCAGCTAATTATTTATTTAAAATTCACATGGACAACTACAAAAATTTTAAATTATTATATTATCAGTAAATTTTCAACTTTAATAATTATTTATTCAGCCTCCAGTGATATCTGAACTAAAATTTTGCTAAAGTACTTTGTAAGGGTCGGTCTTTTTTTTACGTTCAGATAATTGTTATCTCCCAGATAACTTAAAGTCATCTTTTCATCAGTAGGATGGTAGAAAGTTACAAAAATTTTGAAAATTTACCATCAGAATCTCATCAGAGTCTACTCTAATGTAACACTTATTACAGAAATGTTATTACTTATTGAAAGTAATAGAGAAAATATAAAAAATTTCTTATGCAAACTTACCTGCATTTCTTTCTGCAAATTAGTCTTCATAAAACAAAATAAATGTACGTAAATAATACTATATTTATTTTAAAAGCTTACACATAGTATACTCCTAAACGTCTCTAATAAATTAGATATTAAACCATTTCAGTCAACATGGAGACTTCATATTTTACAAACGAAAAGTAAAAACACAATATTTGAAGACAAAAGATCTATCAAAAATAAAACGAACTATAAACTTAAAACCAAAATCGAGAAATGATCCTTAACAGATTACATGTTCAATGGAATGATGTATTCTATGAAAATGTGTAATTAGAAACGTCCAAATGGCCTTTGCATACGACCCCTTGCCCTTCTAGCTACTGTCCTTGCTTGATAGTTCCCTGTCGGAGACCCTCTGCCTCTATCTAAAATACAAAGAGAAATCATTCCATACAGTGAAATTAACACAATATGTTAAAAAATATGAAACTGTTAGGAAATTAACATTTCACATTTTCAGAGTTAAGTATCAAATTGGATTATCTTGGCCTACCGTTACAACATACAGTGTATCTACTTAAGGTAGTTCACTCGGTAAAACGGCTTTTGTTAAGAATTCAATAAAATTAAAATATAAAGTTAATGAAAGTGTCATTTATGTAACTAAAAAAATAAATTGAATTTTTTTTTTTTTTTATTTGGTGTACGGCTTCAACATCTAAGGTCATTAGCCTAGTGTTCTATGTAGGTTAGGATTGTATTAGTAGTCTAATACTCCATAGTGTAGGAGTATTAGTACTCTAATACTCCTACACCCCTACAGACAGGCCTTGTTACTGTTTCCTTGCGCCACTTTAGGAACAGCACTTTTGACTGTCTGTGAAACAAGATATTAACAAACAAAATGTGCATAATTTACACTGTGAAGCCTGTCATGTACACAAACAATACATTTATTTCAAGATATTTCGAAAACGGTTCTTACTATATTTTTTAAAAACTAATGTAATGTAAATCAAGAAGTTATAACATTTTCTAAAACAACTTGAGAACATTGTAATCGCTACACTTAACGCACGATAACTCAAATGACTTGTCAGATTATTTTAGGCTTGTTTTGGTTCTTTCAGGAACTAGTTCAGAATCACTGAATTACACTCGATCAGCTAAGAGGTTGTTATAATATCGCGACGTGTTCTTGAAAAATTAATTTGTCCACTGCATTTGAGAACTGGAATCGACGATGCTGTTTGAACCAAAACAAACCCTTAAAATTAGCATGAGGAAGTCACAAATTTCTATAGGTATATACACTCACTAGATAACCCACCATTCATATATTTGCGAAGTTGCCGGATGGATTTTACTTGAAATAACGTATCTGTATATTATAAGCTTACATATGTTGTGTACAGTCTCTTACAAAAATAAAAAAAATTTAGCATTGAGAATCTCGAACATTTAGTATTCACCATCAGGCGATATTTTTGTGTACGACTGTCGCGATGAACTAAAATTGGCACCATATGGAATTTTTTTTATTAGTTTTACAGAAAAAATTTATCTCTTTAAAAAAAAATCTGCATGGTCTAAACCCCATAAGCATAAGTTGATTGTTAAGGTTTTTTAGATAATAATTTAAATGTGAACCAGTTTCATTATCACTTTGATCGCATGTGGGATCTGGTGTGGTGCTCCGTCAGAAAATAACTACACTACGATTTTATTCCACTGTATACTCGTAGTATTCAGTAATATTTTTTTAGAACTGTTTCTGATGAAATGTATCAATTATCTTTCACTTTAGAAACAAGATCATTATTACTGCAGATATATTTTTTCTTATAACTTTTATGTCAACTTAGTAATATTTTCGAAGTTTTTGACAATGTAGAGAAAAGTGACGAAAGTTGAGTTGGTGAAATAAGTTCGAAAAACAAAAGTTCGATTGGAAAATTAGAACAAATGTTCGAAATTACAAAAGATAGAAATCAGATATGATCGAAAGCCTTATATTACGAAATTAGTAAAGTACTTAGTTTCTTTATTTTTCATATTTTATATATAATTGTTTAGCGAAGCAATCCGCTATAGCTTCGGTCCGCACAGGTTAGGTATATTAGTTAAGTTTTAAATTTCTGTTTGTATAATTTTTTTTGTAGAAGTAACCCGAGACGCTTCAGGTCGCACAGGTTAGGTAAAAATTTAAGTTTTTTTTATTAGAAAACCAGGAAAATATTTCCATTTTCTTTATTATATTTTACATTTTGATTCAGAACAGTTTCAAGTGAAGTCCTTCAGGTTATAAAAGGGCACCTACTGATAGACCTGATAATTAAGGTGTCTCCCGTACAAAGCACAGGCAATGAATAATGAATGTAATGATGCAGTGCTTAGGGAATTGCAGGACAGAAAATTAACCCACAGCAAGTGAACCAATAGGTTAATTCCGACTGAGTAATAATAACCTTTGGGTACGATGCACCTTCAGAAAAATGGATTATTCTCACACAATTCCTCGCTGGCCATGTGTCATTTAGAGAGTACACGTTAAGGATAAAGAAAACAGGACGATTAATGTATACACTGCAGTGGGTAGGACACGTCGGAGCATACTGAAAGGGATCGTATTTAATTCCGTCCCCGTTGAATGGCAATATAAAACGTTCACCTATTCTATCGCTTTTGACCGCGGTAAATTCCAGGAACCAAAGTCGTCTATGCGCTGGAACAGAAGCAGAGAATCATCGTCATAGGAACGGATTTTATTTATTGAATGTCAGGTGATTGAACGTGGAGAGAATGGAATGTCAGTCATTGTTAAAAGGTGTTTTTGTTAGTTTTATTTGTGATAAAAATGTAAGTGCCTTTTTAAATCAATTATTATGTTTCAATTACTTTTATATTATTTAACTGGTTCACTATTTAGATTTGAATTTCACTGTTATAAGTAATTTCATGCTTTTTCTTGACAGCATTTTTTGTATCTCCAAACAGAAATACATACACACACACACACATTTTTTGTATCTGTCATAAAAAATTGCTTGCATTCCAATAACGAGTTTATTTGATTTTATTACTTATTTTACTATCTAAATCAGTGAAAAATAGCATCCTTTTAATATTTTAATTTAAATATTTTTGAAGTTTATTGACATTTTATAGTTATACTAAGGAAAATTTGGGAACAACATATCAACTATTGGGGAAGCACCCCAAAACAGGCACATGGAAAAGCCTTCATAGGCAGACCATGTCCCAAAAGAACTGGAGAACTACTCTTAATGAACCAGTTGAAAGTGATAACAGGGTTCATGACTGGGCACGCCCCAGTAAAGGGACACTTGAACAAAATTGGCATGTACAATGGGGAACTCATGTGCCGACTATGTCACAAGAAACCAGAAACGGCCAAACACATACTGTGCGAATGCGAAGCTCTAGATCGCAAAAGACAGGCTCTTTTTGGATAACCCCAGGTTGATCCAACAACGTATAGAACCCACTCACCCAAGGATCTGTACAAACTTGTACAAGGTACAAAGGTGATAGAGTGGGTGCTATGAACTAACATGGGGTAAAACACAATAAGCCAATAGGCTTCAGTGTTATTCGGAGACACATAGTCAGACGAGCCCAGGAAAAAAAAAAGGAAAATTTGCTATAATTTTGATTTGACTTTGAGATTATTTTTTTTTGTCATTTTTAAAGTTCGGCAAGGGAAAAGTAATATTATATTAGTAAATTATGTGTTTTTCTAACATCAGATATTCACAGCATTGGCAGATCTAAGTTAAAAGTATAAAATGCCTTGTTGTTTGATACTAACATTTTCGCCCGTGGCTGGGACAACATCGGGATAGGTGTCTCGGTAACTTACCCTATTTTGTCACCAGAATATTCAACTCTAGGTGGGTAGTAAAGCTGTAGAGCTTCCCCATTACCTTGTCCCTATTAACCCTTCTTCGAGTGTGTTTGAACCTAGTAATGCTCAATGTTTGTTATCTGATGAGTTATTGTTCTTAAAATATTTATTTTATTTTTGCCTTGCAGTATTAGATATTGTTTTTTTTTAAATAATGTATTGAATATTATTTCATATATTTTCCTGTGTTTAACTCAAATTGAATATTATTTCATATATTTTTCTGTCTTTAACTAAAACATCAAGTAATTAAATGTGTTTTTTTATATATATACTTAATTTGTCATTTGTATCCAAATTGACGTTTGATTGGTTTTACTGTATTTATTATAACTTTGGGGTTTTCTTGCTGGTTCTTTCCCCTCATTTGATAAATTAATTATTTTTTTTATTGCACCGAACCAGACCTATATTTAATCTTTATAAATATATTTTATATACTTATAAATTTTTACTTTCTGATTCTGTCATCTATAATATTTTTAATAAAGATTAGATATAAATCAATAGATATTTTCTTTTAACCTTTACCACTCCCTCAATAACACGTAAGTAGCCAATAGATAACGAATCTTTCAGTCTGTCACTCGTGGTGTCCTAGTCACTTTATAGTCGATCACGCCGCCACTTTATTTATCATACTTTTATAAAAGAGAGAGATATTAGTTAAGTTGTCTCTCTTTATTTCAGTTGGTTACACTACAATACTGTGTTGACATGCCACATATGGAACAGAAAACTGGAATACCTGGAAAGAGAAATAACACAGAACTCTGGGTAGAAACGATAATTAAACTCATAGTCATATCAGAGGAAAATTTAAGATGCACCCAAGCGTATGTTAAAAAAGTAATGACGAAGACAGAACAGGAGGGGAAGGAACAAGCTGAAGGCATAATTTAATATAAAATAACCAGAATAAGCTCATCTTTTACGTGAAGATATATCTTAATACTTAACCTATGCGGCCTGGAGTCGTTTCAGGTTGCTTCGCAAAATATTAAACAAAATGAAAAAAATAAAACAAATAATTTACTAGTTTCGTAATATAATGCTTGCGATGTTATACCATCATACTATATCATATCATTATCATTTCAATAATTAATAGTATTAAACATGTGATTTCGATCATTTTTTGTAATCGAAATTAGATCTTTTCTCGCTTTCGTCATTTTTCAATTTCAAACTTTTTTTAATTTTGAAGTTTTTTCATTCAAACTTTTGTCACTTATTTTATCAACTCACAAACTTTTTTCTTGTTTGGTCACTGAGGATACCAGACCTAAATCCTTGTGACTAGGTACTAAGAATGAGCTTTGATTTTGCTTACTAAGTGTAAATTGAGTTAAAGCCACTTTACAGTTCGAAATTCTTCTTGATGAAAGAGAAATTGCTGGCCATATTACACTTCGCAATTCACTGCAAAAGATTTTTATTCACTGAAAAAGTGGTGAAAACAAAAAAATAATAATTCGATGTTTTTACAAGTTCGTA